TCACCGGCTCATTCACCTGCACGTCCACCAATGTTATATATGCCATCATATGCCAGCAATGCCCCTCTGCTATGTACATTGGCCAAACTGGACAGTCACTACGCAAGAGGATAAATGGACACAAGTCAGATATCAGGAATGGCAATATATAAAAACCTGTAGGAGAACACTTCAACCTCCCTGGCCACACAATAGCAGATGTAAAGGTAGCCATCTTACAGCAAAAAAACTTCAGGACCAGACTCCAAAGAGAAACTGCTGAGCTCCAGTTCATTTGCAAATTTGACACCATCAGATCAGGATTAAACAAAGACTGTGAATGGCTATCCAACTACAGAAGCAGTTTCTCCTCCCTTGGTGTTCACACCTCAACTGCTAGCAGAGCACCTCACCCTCCCTGATTGAACTAACCTCGTTATCTCCACACTGATTTATACCTGCCTCTGGAGATTTCCATTACTTGCATCTGAAGAAGTGAGGTTCTTACCCACGAAAGCTTATGCTCCCAATACTTCTGTTAGTCTCAAAGGTGCCACAGGACCCTCTGTTGCTTTTTACAGATTCAGACTAACACGCTACCCCTCTGATACTTGTTGGAGTCTGTTTTTGAAGTTTTTTTGTTGGAGAATTGCGACTTTTAGGTCTGTAATTGAGTGACCAGGGAGGCTGAAGTGTTCTCCGACTGGTTTTTGAATGTTGTAATTCTTGATGTCTGATTTGTGTCCATTTATTCTTTTGCATAGATACTGTCCAGTTTGGCCAATGTACATGGCAGAGGGGCATTGCTGGCACATGATGGCATATATCACATTGGTAGATGTGCAGGTGACCGAGCCTCTGATGGTGTGGCTGATGTGATTAGGTCCTATGATGGTGTCCCTTGAATATATATGTGGACAGAGTTGGCAACGGGCTTTGTTGCAAGGATAGGTTCCTGGGTTAGTGTTTTTGTTGACACCATTAAATTGGGCTTGAATAAAGACTGGGAGTGGATGGGTCACTACACAAAGTAAAAACTATTTTCCCATGTTAATTTTTCCCCTACTGTTACTCACACCTTCTTGTCAACTGTTGGAAATGGGCTATCCGGATTATCACTACAAAAGTTTTTTTTCCTCCTGCTGATAATAGTCCACCTTAATTGATTAGTCTCATTATAGTTGGTATGGCAACACCCATTTTTTCATGTTCTCTTTGTATATACATCTTCCTACTGTATTTTCCACTGCATGCATCCAATGAAGTGGGTTTTAGCCCATGAAAGCTTATGCCCAAATAAATGTGTTAGTCTCTAAAGTGCCACAAGTACTCCTCGTTCTTTTTGCCGATACAGACTAACACAGCTACCACTCTGAAACCTTACACTATATAGACAAGCAACAGCTTGGCCAAGGCACATATACCTGAGTAAGATATGGACAAATTACTTTATTCTCCCCCAGGTCCATTCCCTCTTTCTGTGGCTATGTCTACACTACAGTTTATGTCAGCATAATTTATGTCACTCGGGGGTGTAAATAAATCACTCCCGAGTGACATAAGTTACACTGACATAAGTGCCGGTGTGGACAGCGCTACGTTGGTGGGAGAGCAGCTACATTAGAGAGCTTACAGTGACGCAGATGCATTGGTGCTGTAAACTCTCTAGTGTAACCATGGCCAGTGACGCTTATTCTGCGCACAAAAAAAGCGAGGCTACTTTGTAAACAACAAAAATCACCATAACAAGTACGTTCCTACCATGATATTTTAGAAGTTGCAGGAAAACTCCAAAACTGCAAGTATACTTATCTACTTTGAAAAAAATAATTTATTTTCATTGCTTTAATCTTTCTACTGTAGTGTTAGCACTTAACATAAGCATCACTCTTCTACTTTCCTATTTACAATCCATTATACTGTATATTCAACTAATACAGCACATAATTTTCAGAAATGTAAGGGAAAATGCACAATTTCGTAAGGTTTAAAAAAAATTACAAACTCAACCTGTACAGGATTCTCAAATTGAGCACCCAAAATTTATACAAGGCATTATCCACATAGCTTTGGAAGGGCAGATGCTACATTGACAAAGCAGCAACAAACTTACAGAAATACAATAAAATACAGAAAATAAAGGTGAGTATTTGGGGCACGAGAAACAATACAGTTACTGAAGTTGTAAATTTAGCAATACCCACTTGTTCTAGAAACATGTAATTGCAAACCTGGACAACGACAAACTATGGAGACAAAGTAAAGTGAAGGACAGAGTGGTTTCTTTTGTAAACCAGGGAAGCTGAAGAAATTCCTACTCTAAATCTGTTACCAAATTAGCAATTCAATAACTCTTAGTCTGAAGAAGCATATTTCTCCCTCAACACGTCTCCTCCTTATACTTCTCTGATTTTCATAATCATTTGCTAAATATGTTTCAAAACATGATCTGCAGTTTTGGGACTTTTAAGTGACTTACTCCTAAAAACTGTACAAATAGGTCACTGTAAAACTGCAGAATAGTGAAGGCTTCTCGAGGTAGGCACAGCCAACCCTGGTTTGGATTAAACTTACACAATATAAATTTTAACAAATGTCGTAAATTGGCCCTGAGGACACTTTCAGATATCAGCTTTGCCTACTAATTTTAAGGTATCACCTATGGAGGAGTTTCAGTAAATCAGAGTTATAGTATAATCAGAGGCCTGTGTATTCTGAGATTCTCCAACATTTGCTACAGAGGGTAAGTTTGCTGTACAACTGTACTATAAAATATCAGCTTTAAGTTTTAGCAAGTTATGTTTCTAGACCACATGGCTGCAAAGATAACCTTGAAAACACAAAGTAAGTGGAAACTAACACAATGCTGTCTTTGTGAATCTGCAGACAGCTTGAAACTATTGCGCCAAGAGGTATGAATTATATTCATCTCAATAAAGTGTGTTCTTTATGTTTCTGAGTGCATTCTAATGACAATATTGTCTATTTCGCTGCTTTTCATTTTAAAGCAAAAACAATCAGCTAACATATTAACCCCACAATCCCAAAGCTGCCCCAATTGTTCCCTAACAAATTTTCAAAACTTCCAGGTCCGTCCCTCCCACTCTGCATGCACAATTTACGATGCAGTTATGCATTTTTAATACAGAATGCTTCCTCATACCAGACATTGAAAGTAGAAGAGCAGCAAAAAATAAGCCGAAATAGCAAAACAACAATGCAGGGTAACTATACTAACATTATTTATTTTCATAAAAACCTCCATTTTAATGCATCTGAGACTGACACAGATGTTCCAGACTTTCTACTAGATTGCTAGAGAATCCAAGGCCTTGTAGTTACAAAGGCTTGGAAGGATCAGATTTTTAATCAGAAAATGTTGATTTCACCATACACACAAACCAATAAAAATATTTCCATTTAACCAAAATGTACAGATAGGCAAAATAAGAAAAATGCTGCTGGAGAACTTATTATGAGATTAATTTAAGGATATTTGCTTTGTATATTTTGCATGTGATATTGACAATTTGTGCTTCAACAGTTACAAATATAACTTTTTCAATATCAACACCTACTGTCATTAAAATGCTATTGTCTGACACTACCCCATAATTTCCCGCAACTATAAAAATTTAAATAAATAAAAACTGGAAAAACACTTAACGCCCATATTTTGCACAACAGCAAACACTTAAATTGATAGAAATAAAAAATGCTTAAAATAATCATAGATATCTGTCAAAATTATAACAAATATCAATTTCATTCTCCAACACTTAAATATACGGAGCCCTGACCAGAATATTCCACCCTCTTTAATATGTTTTATCCCAAAAGATCCAAATGCCATTCACAGACATAAATGTGATAGATAAATTACTGTAACCATTTTAAAATACCTAAGAGCAGTATACATTCCTTGGGACTGAGAGAGAGCATAGGGTTACAACATCTACTTTCCCCCTGGATAGTCCTGATTTTGACTCCTTTGCAACATGTTAGATGGGCCCAAATGTTCTTTATCACCCAGGCAGCTCCATCACAAACACAACCTAGGCAAAGCTACCTGCAACATGGCAAAACTTGGGCACATCCCCACAATGAGTCCCCTTTGCAATGTGATGCCAAATATCAAGACCAAAATGCAAGGACAACTGGGCTGAGCTTGGGCTCAGCAGCTTCGGGACAAGTCCTATCAGCAGGAAGCCAGGGCAAGACTGGGACACAGGCAGATCAGACCACGGAATAATACAACAAGTCCCAGGTGGACCAGGTCACAATGACATAACCAAACAGATCCTGTCCCTGGGACACCTGAGGAAGATGCATGATCTGCCTAGCCCTGCACCCCAGACTAGGGCTCTTCTCCCCCTTAATTCCTCTGCCCCACACCCAACTCGCACAACCTTCCCCCAAACTTTGGTCCCCAGCTCCCCATCACTGGATCTTCCCTCTCCCTTATGCCCCCACCGATCCTACACCAATTCACACTGTCCTCTCCCAGACCCCACTGTCCATTGCTGGGGCTCCCCCCCACAGCTCTCACTGCCCTCCCCCAAACCCCACTGCTGGGGCTCCCCACTCCAGCTCTCACCGCCCACTCCCAGACCCCGCTGCCCATTGCTGCCCCTCCTCCAACTCTCACTGCCCTCCCCCAGACCCCACTGCTGGGGCTCCCCACTCCAGCTCTCACCGCCCACTCCCAGACCCCGCTGCCCATTGCTGCCCCCTCTCCAGCTCTCACTGCCCTCCCCCAGACTCCACTGCTGGGGCTCCCCACTCCAGCTCTCACTGCCCACTCCCAGACCCCGCTGCCCATTGCTGCCCCCCCTCCAGCTCTCACTGCCCACTCCCAGACCCCACTGCCCATTGCTGGGGCTCTCCCCCGCCACTCCACACCCAGCTCACACTACTCTCCCCTAGACCCCTCTTCCCAGCCCCAGGATCCGCCCCGCCCCCATGCCAGCTCGGACCCCTCACTCCCCCATGGGATCCCACCGCGCCCCGACCCCGCTCACCTGGTGCCCCCTACATTCAGCTGGATGATCTCCCCGCTTCCCGCGCCGGCGAAGCTCCCACCATTCCCCGCCATCTTCCCCGCCGCCGCCGCCGCCGCCTGCAGCGCCCGCCGCCACCTTCCACCGCAGCCGGAACCCACGGAACCAGCAGGAGCTGGGGGAACGTGCAGCGGGGCTGTCCCGGGCGTGGGCCAGTGCGGGAGAACCCGGGTCCCGAGAAGCTGCGGCCCCGCGGGCTCAGGCCAGCAAAGGCCGCGCCGCCTCCCCACTCCCTGGCCGGAGCCGGGCGGAAAGTGCCATGGCAACGCGCAGCACCTGGAGGAGGGGGCTCGGCAGGGGACAAAATACTCCGAGTTCTTCGCGAAACGAGCACGGGAGGGAGGGAGAGCTGTGGGGACGCTATGGGCGGGAGGGTTCGAAAGCCTCCATACACACACACACACACCACTCCTTCAGTAGCACAGTACACACACATCTCAGTGGGGAATACACACGCGGTAGTTCCCCCAAAATAGGGGACTATCCCCACACGCCCAAACTGAGGAATCCTCCCTCTCCTCCTCTCTCGCCAAATAGGGAAAACTCCTCTCTCTATTAATCTATTTTAAATATTTTGCCCCTGATTCACCAGTGTTGCTGTTGCCAGCAGTGGAGTTACATCAGCATAAAACTGGATTAAAGGCAGTGGTGAATGAATCAGGCCCTTTTTTCATAGTTATGAAAGTTTTCAAGGGTTTTAATCGATTATGCAAACTACAGAAACATGTACACAGGACAAGTAGGGGAAATGGAGACTGTCAAGCTGGGAAGTTATATTTGCTTAATGTGTGGATCATTAGTAACAGTCACGTTCTTAAAAAGCTGCCCAATTCATTGTGCTCAATTTTTGAGAGGCCATTAACATTAAATTATTGCATTTCTCTTTTTCCCCCTCCATTATATCCACAGAGAACATGACACCAGAATTACAAAGGGGGAAATCCAAAATCTGAATTCTGTACAACAACCTTTTTCTCTACTAAAAAAATTGATACAAAATTTAAACATGACCAAGCTACTGAAAGCTGCTACTGCTAAGGAAACATTCTTACGATACATATTACTATTAAGCTTTAAGGCCAGCAGGGTGAAATTAAAAGCCATCCATGGCACTGGCCCTTAGCTACCTGAGAGATCACCTCACTCCACAGACATCAAAAGCTAGATTCCATCAGAACCACCTTAACCAACAGATGGAGACTTGTGTGTCCAAAAGACAGGACTCTCCCAGGAGCTGGACCTAGACTATAGAACTCTGCCTGCAAGAGAGAAGAGCAACCAAAGACCTCAGGATTCAGAACTACATGCATAACTCAGTTTTCCCACCTCCATTGTGCTCACAGTCTATTTTCACTTGGGAGTGATGGGGTGGGGAATTCTGCTTCCTTTTAAGCTTCTCCTGAAGGCAAAGGAGGGAAAGCTAGCGAGGAATTTTCCTTTGTTGTCATTCTTTTAATTATTTGGGGACCACTGAAGATCACATAAGTACAGAGAGAGAGAGAGAGAGAGAGTAAAGACAACTCAGTATGAGAAGATTGGCAGCATAGTTCAGGTTAAAGGATAATTTGTACTGTCCTTTCTTCAATGAAACATCTTGGCCATAAAGAGATGAATATTACAAAGTGGGCTCAGGGTGGCAAAATATATGATATCCATGAACTCTGAATCCACAGTGCAATTTGATGAGGAAATCAGTCTATTACAGAATGTAATGGAAATTTGACCAAGAATAAATGACTATATAGTTAGGAAAGGAAGTCATAACACTGTGGTTTGAAGGAGTGAGAGTATGCTGCCAGCTTTGTGATCAAGTCTTACAGCCAAGCAAGGTTTTACTGTTTTCAGAGAGTAAGAATTTACAAATATGGGCTTTTTTCAACTAGGTGAAATTTGACAAGATACAGAGGTCTTGTGCCAGGGACCAGCACCATTTAAACCCAGTATTGCCATTCTGCAAGGGCAGAGTGGACATCAGGGTCATAGCCTCACAGTGGAATCTCTGCAGCTCTTTTATTCTGTACAAGGGAGGGTAACGACTAGTCTCCAATAGGTCCATACCGAGAGAGCCACTGGAGGTGGGCTAGTGGCAGAACTATTGAATCTTCACTCGCATGGATTCAGTGGGTCAAAAGCCATTAGTGGTATGAAGAGGGGTGGTAACTGCCATTTCAATCCATATGCTGAAAAAGTATCTACAGAGAGGGGCCTACCTAGTTATGGGATGGATTCCATCCTCCCACTCCCCATCGAGTTCCCCAAACAAAGACATTTACTGTGAATGTCACCCTGTGACACACACGCCCATTGGTAAAAAATTGGCAAAGGATTCAATGTTCTATAATGACAATCGTATCAGGCCTAACAAACTCACTACAGCTAGCACACTGCTTTCATAGTATTTATCAAGAAAGTGATGTGAGATCTTAAATGCAAACCAGGATCACACAGGTCATTGTGAAATGTATGGATCGACACTATGTGAGGAGTTATGTGTATATATTGGAAAATATGTCTTAAAGTCGGACTCAAAGCAGAGTTGACAAACAGGTTTTTGTCAAAGGGATGTATATTCATCTGTCTGCCTTGGTTCACATCAGGGGTGCTGGAACAATTTTTATAGTGGGGGTGCTGACGATGGAAATCATGTATTTGGTGTTAGTTATTAGTACTTCAAGCCCGGGGGTGCAGCAATACCCCTAGCTCCAGCACCACTGGTGCACATGTAAAATGATCATTGTAAGCCAACATCATGGAAGCCCCATTTGAATACAAAATCAACACGAAGGCAGCACATCAGGGAATAAACCTGGGTGTGGGAGGAGTCATCCTAACTCTGGGACCAACAATGAATTTTGGGGACATGAGGAAAAGGCAAAAAGACACCTTTTCATCCTTTACTGAGAAAACAAAAAGGACAGTGCTTTTTTTTTCATTCATGAAAGAGGGATCCCAGCCATGTTGGTTGAAGACACTGGAAGATTTCTTTAGGTGAGAAACTACTTTAGACAGAGGGTTAGCCTGTTAAAGTTTAAACTCAGGGACATGTGTTATACTTTTGTTTTATATGTAACAATTTCTCTTTCAATTATTATCCTTACTCACTATCTGTTAAATCTTAGCCTGTGATAATAAATGTATGATTGTTTTCATTATAAATATATCTCAGTGCTGTGATACTATAAAAGAGTTGATCCTCAGCTGAATCAAACAAGCTTGTGTGTACAGTGACCTCTTGGGGATAGCAACAAACCTGGTAATTTCTGTGAGCATCCAGTGGTTAAGGGCTGGACACTGCAGAGAGTGCTTCGAGGGAATGCTCTGTGCCTTCTTAGTAGTCTACACACAGAGAGCTATGGCTGCAAGGGCCTGGAAGGCAGTGCTTATGTTGCCAGAGGCTATTGTTTTCAGGGAGCTGATCCACAGCAGACACAGACGAGACTGCTTCACACTAATGGCAGGTAGTGGGGAGGTGCCTAACAACCCTGAGGACCCTTCGGGAGAGTCACATACCCTATACCCATACAAGTCATAATCCTAGCAGAACCATTTTTATTAACATTGGTAGAACACATTCATTTTAAAGGGGTACCCCCAAAGAAAACTGTTGTGAAGAGTAGTCTACTTGGAAGTTTTAGATCCAAGAGGGGACGACAGTTCCCCTAGCCCTCTGTTACATAATCAGTGTTTAAGGTTTGCTAAACAAATGTGAAAAGATTTAACATTGCATCAGTCTACTGTCAGAAAAACCACAGCTACAGTTTTGAGGTTGCCAAAGATTGATGCTAATGGCTGTTTTCCAGGGCTTGTATAGAGAAACTTCCCACAAATGTACCACATGCAGTAACTCTGTGGTAAACACTAAAATTTGCATAAACTTACCATTAGTTTACCCCTGTCATTATTTCTAAGAACTATTCAAACTTCTTGGACCTGTTGAAAGGGAAAAAGTCAACTTCAAAGTTAACTTAAAAGCCACTCTTCTGCCTGAAAATGTTGTGCCTATCTTTGGTACAAGTTGCACCTAAGACTATTACATCTGAAAAAAAAATCTGCTGGTCTTTTTTTCAAGTAATTTTGTACATTTGACAGCACTTTGTTTATAGTCAGTTTCACTATTTTCCTTGGATAGTCCAATAGCACATATATTCCTCCTCTCACTTGGAGTTGCCATCTGTCTGTGATCTCCACGCACAACTGACACCTCAATTGTTTCTCCCTGTTAATCATGCAGGTCTCTTACATAGTAACCTGGGAGAGAGAAACATTTTAAAAAAAGAAAGATGTAATTGTAAAACCACCCAAATGGCATGGGGACTCAGGGACAGGTGTACCACCTAAATCCATTGTAACTCATTTTTTAATTAGACTGGACTCCAAGTAGACAGTGTTCTTTTAACATTCTAAAGCACTTATTCTCAAAGCAGAGATGTTTTCTTACTTTTTTATGCTCAGTTTTGTCACCACAAAAGAACTCTATTGCTACTCCCTCTTTTTCCCATAGTTTTAGAAAAATAACTGAAGGCTGCAGTGATCAGAGTAGCACTGGCTCCACTCTTTATGGCGAAATTCCCTTTGGGAAGTTCCTCCCACATCAAGGATAGGGTTTCATGTTAGTCCTCCTCCAAATTCCTGAGATCCTAGGAAATCCATGGGAGGTGAAGCTAGTGGTTGCTGAGACTCTGTGCTATACAAACTCGCGAGGTCTGAGATCTCCCCCATGAAGCAAAATTCCCCTTGAAGCAGAATACCTTTCAACATTCCTTTGGGAGCTGTGAGGCTTGCTCCAATGCAGAGCTGTGGCTAAATGCCACAATTTAGCCCACAATAAATAGCACAAGGAATATTGTATTGTATTTTTCAGTTTCATATTTAACCCTTTGTTGTAAATTTTTTCTGAAGCTGCTGCTGAGTGTTGAAGAAGCTAGGGAGCCTTATCATAGAATTTGAGCCTAACTTGCATAGATTACATGAGGAGTTGAACATATCAAAAGAACAGTGTGTGTTTATGATGTATGATTTTTTTTACAGCGTCCTTATGAATTGAAAAGGCTCCTTATATTTCTCTAATTATTCTATTTTTTGAGGGGGGATGGATTCTTATAAACAATAAGAGATTAGGAATATAAATTCTAAGGATAAATGGTCAGATCATTCTTAGTGCATTTTTGAGGGAGAGCAGGAAAACCTCTGAAAATGGCCTATAATTCACAGACGGATAGAGAGAGACTTG